GGGGGGGTGGAGGGGGAAATAGACAAAGCGGTAGCCAGCCAGCCAGCCAGCCAGCCAGCCAGCCAAGATCAATGCCCCATACAATTATGGATAAATTATTGTTTTCGACGCCCCGCTGTTTGCCGTGTTTGTTACTGTTTGCCCAAACGGGAAATCCAGTTACTGCCGGGCTCCATTCCAGTCCCGAGTCCAGTTCCCACGGCACAGTCCAGCTCCTGCTGCATACATTTGTGCTGTGCGAAAGCATTGCGAGGTGTTCGTGGTTGCTCTTCGTCGCATTATTATTGACTCCTGGCCTCAGTCCTCACGAAACTCCCACTGTCGCCGGTCAGTTTGCACGCGTGACAATCGCTCCCGTACCCTTGACCGCGGGTTGGTCAAGCTCTCCGAAGCTCAATCAAAACAGCCTCGTGCAATGGCCCTTGCGCATTACTAGATTCAGAAACCTTTTCACATCTCCTCCACGGAACGCGCAATACTTCTTCTAATCCAACTGCGTTCGCGCGCAGGATCCTGACTGCCAGATGGCTGCTCAATTCACAGAGGAGAACATCAAGGAGCTGAAGTTCCGACTCGAGGATGCGGCGATCAAGTGCTCCGAACGATGCCTCTACCAGTCAGCAAAATGGTACCGCCTCCCCATCAACCCGCGCGATGTAGGCAAGCTAACAGGCATGTCAGGGCTGCGGAGATGCTCGATTCCCTCGTCCCAATCGACCAGTATGAAACGGATCCCGATTCACCAATGGACCAGCCCGATGCTCCTCCGAACGCCCAGAACCCCTACCTCCGGACCCAAGATTCCATAGAAGCGGCGCTCGAGGCGCAAGAGTCTTACAAATATCTCCTGGCGAAGTCGTACTTTGACACCCGCGAATACGACCGCTGTGCCGCCGTCTTCTTGCCTCCGACTATATCCCCCATCCCTCTCGCGACTGCGTCGCCCAACCCGAAACATAGACAGTCGTTGACTCCGCAGAAGGGCAAATCGAAGGCGTCGCCGTTCGCAGGGGTGAAGGACCATGGTGCGACCAGGAATCCCTACCCTCGGCTCAGCCAGAAATCCCTGTTCCTCGCCTTGTATGCGAAGTACCTGGCCGGCGAGAAGCGCAAGGATGAGGAGACGGAGATGGTACTAGGTCCTGCGGATGGAGGCTCCACAGTCAACCGCGAATTGCCAGATCTGGCTCGAGGGCTAGAAGGATGGTTCACTGAGCGACGGGAGAAGGGGCTGGAAGGTCGGAACCAGGGTTGGCTGGAATACCTTTACGGTGTCATACTCCTCAAGGGGCGGAATGAGGATGAGGCCAAAAAGTGGCTGATTCGGAGCGTGCACTTGAACCCCTTTCACTGGGGCTCGTGGCAAGAATTGAACGACTTGCTGGCCAGCACGGAAGACGTGCGCATACCCCACCAGCTACATCAGACATGTTGATTGCTAACCACCGTGTGTGCAGTTGAAACAAGTCGTCGACCTTCTCCCGCAAAACATCATGACTCTCATATTCCACGTATACTGCAGCCAAGAGCTATACCAAGCCACAGATGATACGTACCAGGCTCTGTCCGAGCTGGAGACGATCTTCCCAACGAGCGCATTCCTCAAGACCCAAAGAGCACTCCTCTACTACCACTCGAAAGGTGAGATTGCTTCGCACGGGAGGCTTCCCTACAAACTAACCGATACCCACAGACTTCGAAGCAGCATCGCACATCTTCACCGACATACTTATCACCTCGCCCCACCGCCTCGACAGCCTCGACCATTACTCCAACATCCTCTATGTCATGGGCGAGCGCCCGCAGCTCGCCTTCGTCGCGCAAGTCGCGACCGCGACCGACAAATTCCGTCCCGAGACGTGCTGCGTCGTCGGAAACTACTACTCGCTCAAATCCGAGCACGAAAAAGCCGTCATGTACTTCCGCCGCGCGCTGACCCTGGACCGGAACTTCCTCTCCGCCTGGACCCTCATGGGCCACGAGTACATCGAGATGAAGAACACGCACGCCGCGATCGAGTCCTACCGGCGGGCCGTCGACGTGAACCGCAAGGACTACCGCGCCTGGTACGGGTTAGGCCAGGCCTACGAGGTCCTCGACATGTCCTTCTACGCGCTGTTCTACTACCAACGCGCCGCCGCCCTGCGGCCGTACGACCCGAAGATGTGGCAGGCCGTGGGGTCGTGCTACGCCAAGATGGGCCGCATCGAGCAGAGCATCAAGGCCCTGAAACGCGCCCTCGTGGCCGGCTCATACTACGCCGAGGACTCTTCTTCCCAGGTCGGCAGCGGGCCTGCCCGCAAGATCCTCGATCCGGAGACGTTGCATCAGATTGCCACGCTCTACGAGCGTCTGGGCGACGAGGAGGAAGCCGCCGCGTACATGGAGCTCACCCTGCAACAGGAGTCCGGGCAGGTCGTCCAGGAGGAGGAGGAGGCCTCGTCCGACGACGACCAATCCGGCACGGATGTCCCGTCCAGCTCGCGACGCACGCGCAAGTCGTCGAGGGACGACGACGAGGAGGATACCTGGCACGGCACGGGGGTCACCGCGACCACGTCCAAGGCGCGGCTGTGGCTCGCGCGGTGGGCGCTCCGCGGCGGGGATCTGGCTCGCGCGGACCAGCTGGCCGGGGAGTTGTGCCAGGATGGGGTGGAGGTGGAAGAGGCCAAGGCGTTGATGAGAGACGTTCGCGCCAGAAGGGAGGGTGGTTGATGCATACAGGATGAGCCGTCTCATACCCCTTCGAATTAGCCAGGCGTTTTTGTGGAAATAATAGGTTATGTTGTATTTCTATCTATATCTGTATACGAACTAGACAAGCCAGTACCTTGGTCACTCGATTGATGAATTGTTGTAGCTTGTACGACATCTCAATCTGACGCAACGGTCTAGTGCCTTATGTCGATCTCATTTGACTTCCCAATGTCAATCTATACGAAACATCCAGACAGCGCAACAACATACATGCTGGCCTTGATTGAAGAAAGGGCGATGGAGGAAGGCTGAGGGAAAACAGAGTTTGCCTTCGTCAATACGCACCACCGGATAAGGTCACTGCGAACAATTCGCTCAGCGGAAGCAGCTCCCGTCTATTGAAACTGATCGTAGCCTTGACATCGACGTCTCTATGTATCCCTCGCCCACGCCCTTCCGCTGCTCTTCGATGACAGTACATAGGGCTTGTATGAAGACCGAAATGCGAGATACGCTCCCCAGTCCCGCCGAGATCCCACTTCACGCACGCATAGAAGTACCGTCTCCCGATCGACTCCCAGGTGTGACGGAGGCCGAGCCTGGCGTCGTCGGGGCTGATGTCGAGGTTCAGGAAGCTTTGGTCGAGGACAAAGATCTTGCCCGTTGGAGGGTGGGTTGTGCTTCTGGTTTGCAGGGCGCGGGTGATGCGTTTGCTGAGGTCGAAGAGGAGGTGGCCGAGGGTTGATTCGCTGCCGATCAGGAGGACGAGCCCGAGACGTGGGGATGGTGTTGTCGTCTTTGGCGTGGCTGTCAATAGGATATCCAGGAAGGCGGCAAGGGGTTGGGTGTGGTGCTCTGGGTTGGAAGGTGGATTGTGTTGCTGGGGGGTTGTATGGTTGCTTGGCGTTGGTGTGATATATATGGGGATGTTCAGGAGTAGAGATGCGAGAGGTTGACTTGGTTTGGGAGGACGGTTATCATCTGTTTTGGGGTAGCTAGATATCTGCGGTGGTGTAGCGGAGCTGCTGCATTGTCCAGTGCTAAGGGAATCAGTATCGGCCTGGCTTGTAACTAGGCCAGGCTGTCGAGACTGAGGATTTGGCTTGTCTCCGTGGCCATAATCCGGATTGCGATTTGCATATCGTCGCTGGCGGCAGGTATGAGCCGACAGATTGTCATTATTGGTCAAAGGACTTTGTCGAGCAGGATTGTCTGCAGCTGGCTGAGCTGAATCCACGGATCCTTCTCTGTATATAGGTATGGTACGGCTGTTTGAAGCAGTTGGAAATTTTGGTGACTTCATCAGTGTGGCTGCTCGTTCTAAGGATTTGGAAGCAGATGATGGCATATTCGGTGGATCGCTTGAGGGAATGGCAGCGGTGGTGTCGGTCCCCGACCTCAATGTAGAGCATTGACTCGAAGAAATGCTTCCAGACCGTTCATTTGAGACATGATGTGCTGATCCAGTTCCAAGTTTCACGCGCTTGCACCACTCGCTTCGCTCTTCGTCCATGTCATCCGTGGGAACAGCTCGGGCATCCTCGGCGAGTTGTTGCAGCTCAGCATATGATGTCGCATCCTCAAGAGCCCTGTCCCAGTGAATCTTGGTGATCCTTGGAAAACGAAGCGCGAAATATCCGGCATTGGATGGTTTCTCAAACCCACTACCCAGTATCTCCACGATGAAGGGAGTCTTGAACACGACTTCCATTCTGGAGGCGACATTAGTTCCATAATGAAGTAATAACCCGTGGTCAGACTCGGCGTTGCAGGCATGGAACTCGCCGAACTGGTTGAGGATCTGCATGTTCTTCAAACTCATGCCATTGCGGTCAAGCACATCTACAACCTTAAATCTTGGAGGAATGTTGGAATGCGCAACTGCATCTTTGTTGGTAAGACAGCCGATGTAGAACTCCGTCCATAACAGTTTCCTAACTTGATGTAGGGCTGTCGCATCTCGCGGATTGTATCTCGCGCCAATGATTGCAAGGTCAACCGTATCACCCAACCCCGGTATATAATCCTTCTTGAGCTTGATCCAGCGGCCGAACGTGTTGTTCTCATGGTTTGAGAAAATGGTAAAGTAGGGGTCCTCGCATCCCTTGAGTACAAAACCCTCCCACCGCTGTGCAATTCCCTTAGAAAAGATGCTCTCCAGTCGTGCCTGGCCGTCATGTCGCGAGAAATCCACTACGTGTTGTTCAGCAATATCTGCACGCCCGGGGATAATCTGTATAATATCCTTGAGTAGTAGGCGTCGTTCCCGATGCGGCTGCCTTAAACATATATTATCATCGAGAAGCAGAACGTCGAAGAAGACCATCATCAGATGCTCATGGGGTTGCGGTCTGGCTGCGGTTAGCAACATACTTGAGGGTCTTATCCTATTGCCAAACTCACGGGGAATCGCTTTCAGTACCGATAAAGGTACCGGAACGAGATATTAACTTACGCAGCTTATGGAAATCCATGATCTTGCTGTGTTTATCACTCCAGACGAGTAGTTCGCCTTCAAGAATGCACCTTTGGGAGACCTTGCTCCCAGGCGCTCCTAATTTCAAGGAGTCTTTGATGACCTGGTGGATACCTACCCTATCCACAGTAGAATCTTTACCGCTTTTGGAGAATATTTGTATGGAATTATGGCCCAATGTGAGGTCGATATGTACTTGACAGTATTCACCATCGTACTTCCTTTCAATACTCATCCGACGACGATTGACCATGTGACAGCAGTGCTTGATGCTGCGAGCCTTGTGGTATTCCGGCCGACCAATCTTGACCCCTACTCTGGGATTGAGATGTTGCAAGGCCAAATAAGCCAGGTCCTTGGCCAAACCAGGGTCCGGATGCGGCGGAAAATGGCTTATGGGGTCGGAGCGGAGCATACTGAGCGCACCTTCGAATGTGTCTTGGAAGAGAAGGAGAGGCGGAAGGAGGAAGTGGAAGCTCCGCAACGTCAAAGGTAGAGGGAATACGACAGGATAATAGCCCTTGAGGATCATCCGCGTTAACCATTTTGCATCCCTGCTTCTTAGTCGCTTGAAGAGAGAGCCCAGAGCCTGCTCGACGTCAACCGCGGTGTGCTGCTTCCGCACTCGAGGACCGGAGAATCGGCAACAGGCAGCGATACTGTTCAATGCAGAGTCAATCTCCTCTACCGTTACCTCTCGACCGGGGTCAAGATCGTTCTCCGCTTGCCGCATTACATTCTCGACACATTGGCCGAGGTCGAGTCCGCTGGACACACGCCAACGCTCGAGCTCTGCCCGTCTGGAGGACCCGAGAAGTAAGCATCGCGCTATGATCCTCGCCAGCGAGGTTTCTTGCAGCCAGTAGACTCTGTCTGGCCTTTTCTCGGGAAACATGCAGGACAACAGGGACAGGAGATCAGTGCCGGGGCCACGTATCTGTTTCCCATGCTGGGAAAACCACCGGGACACGGCCCGCACATCAGGATTGAAAGCCCGCGCCTCATTTGTCGCCTTCAAGATCCTGTTGTCCTCGAGAGTGGAGAGTAGATCGCACAAATGAGTGAATTTGAACCCCATCAATCAGACCGATAGACGCGTCTGCTGCTGTAATCATTGAGACAACCGCTTCCTAGAGGTGCCCAAAGCTTCAAATACACGGAACCGCATTGACACGGTAGAAGTCTGAAGGGTCAAAGGATCATGGCAGGGACAATGAATCTATCTGCAAAGCAAGGGTGCGAGAAAGGTCAGGAAAGAGCCAGGGAGACGCGTCCATGGATCGCGAAGGCACGTGATCCGAACCAGATTTGGACTTGATTAATGGACATGTATCTCATCTACTCATGAACCGAACATCAAATTGGACAGCAGAGAAACTCGGATTATGCTCATGAATCCTTCGCATAGAATACATAAAGTGCAGAGCCGTGGAAGCTCCTGCGATTGACTGCTCAACTCTAACCAACAATGATCCCAGTGGTCCAGGTGACAACCATAAACAACAGGAAAAAGCAAACACCGCCGAACTCCAGGCTTTTCAAAGTAAAGCAACAAGACAATTAGACGAGACCATGTATTGGAAGGCAAGAACTGAGAAATGCCGATTACAAAATACCTTGTTTCTGGAGATCAAGGTAGATTCTCTCCGGCATCACGTTTCCTTCCGCATCCTCCATCTGCACCACGTTGTCACGGTTGTCTCTGTCCTTCTTACGGTCTTTCTCAAGCTTCTCCCATAGTCGCAATGCCTCATCAATCCGAGTAATCTCACGGAAGAGATTGGTGTTCGAAGTGATGCCCAAACACTTCAGGCCGAAGATATGCAAGGCCTCGGAAAAGTGCTTGTCGAAGGCGCGACGGCCCATGTATACGAAATTTCCGCAGATTTCGCATGGGTATTCCACACCAAGACCGTGCAACTTGTAAAGCCAGTAAGGGATCGGTTTTCCATCCCAGGCAAGTGGCAGTTTAAGAGGGTTGTAGATTCGATCGTCGCCTTCATCGTCAGATTGGTCGTTTCCACGATCTCCACTGGTGTATTCGGATTCGTTCAGTAGCGCTTCAAGCTCCATTTGACGTTCCCTTTCAGTCATGCCCTGCTTGCGCTCAACGTTAATCTTGGTCGCCTCACGCTCTGCGCTAAGGACCTGTGTAAGGGACCTGACGCGATGTTCCCTCTCTGCCACCGCGCGTTCCTTCAATCTGTGGGCACCTGGGATCCCGCTGCCAGCAGCTGGCGCGGGTCTGTCGTCGGAGTCACCAGCGGCCTTACGAGCCTCCGCAGCACGGATATGCTTCTTGCCCGTCAAATGGTTCTTGTAGACGTTCTCGTTCTTAAACTCTCTCTCGCAATCAGCACACCAGATGCCTTCCCCGGACCCTTCAGTCTTCGGGCCCTGAGTGCCATTCTCTGCCTTCTCCTCCGTCCAGCCAGGAACCTCATTCGCCGACCATTGTTTCTCGAACTCGTCGTCGAAGCTAGCAAAGAGCTTGCTGAGATCTTGTAGCGGTCTGACCTTCTTGATGAAGCTTTCCAGGTAACTCGCGAGCTCGCCGACGTATTTGAAGTATCTATCTGAGATCTTGTTGCTGCGCTTGATCGGCAATTGCGGGGGCGTAAACGCATCGAAGATGTCGAGATACTGGACGTACGAAAGTCTCTTCACACCGGGGAGGTTCAGGTAGTCCTCGTGCAAGGTCGTCAGGTCCAAGAACTGCCCGTAGCTTTCCTCGCCGGTGAACAGATTGTCAACTTCCATTCCGGTCGTCTCGCCCTCGCCAAGCTGACGGCGCTTGTAGGCCCGCTCAAGGTTCTCGACCGGTTCATTGGGGTAGCGCTTGTGAAAGTCCTTGATTTCGTCCAGCTGTCGGTAAAACTCCTCGAACTGATCGCCGGTCGAGATAGATTGGATCTCCTTGTTGCGCGCGCCATCGGTGTCCTTGTAAATGTCCAGCAGTCTCTTGGACTGTTCCTCTATGCGGTTGAGAAAGTGCGAGACCTCGTGGTCACGGTTCAGGCGGTCGCGTAGCTATATAGGCGAGCGATTATTAGCATCTGCGGTGACTGTAACGACGGAGCGCTCACGTACATTACGGGGCTCTTCAGCCACGCGGTCGGCAATGGCCTGCTCCAACCGCTCCAGGTCCTCATGGATAAATCTCTGTTCTTCAAGAATCATGTTGAAAGCGTGTGGGAAGTGTCCGTTCGTCTATGCGATGTAAGAATCACCCCAGATTGGAGGATGTTACGCCGCTCTATCGGCGCCACCCATGAGAGCTTTGCGGGCGAATTGCAATCACGTGGCGCGGGCGGTGAGTCTTCGATCGCCGCGAAAAGTCGCGAGCTCCGGCCACTCCACCAGACCAGTACCTCTGATTCCAGACCTCGGTCCTTTATCGTTTGAATTAATCTATATTATCAGATACTTCAGTGGATTCAAAATGGCGGAAGGTATTGACAGACGCGCTGATGGTATGATTTTCAAATCGCCTTTGGGATCGAGGATTCATTGACTGACCGCGCAAATTCAGACCGGATGGAGTTCAACACCTCGAAGGAGGTCACTGTGGCTCCTACCTTCGAGGACATGCACCTGAAGGAAAGCCTTCTTCGTGGTATTTACGCTTATGGCTACGAATCACCCTCCGCTGTCCAGTCCCGTGCGATCGTTCAGATCTGCAAGGGTCGCGATACCATTGCCCAGGCGCAATCCGGTACCGGTAAGACAGCTACGTTCTCGATCAGTATCCTCCAGGTTATCGATACCGTTGTTCGCGAAACCCAGGGTATGTGGCTCACACCATCTCCACACCACGATTCTGCATGCGAAATCGAAAGCTCACATGACCGGTAGCGCTCGTTCTTTCCCCTACCCGCGAACTTGCCACCCAGATCCAGTCCGTCATCATGGCCCTCGGAGACTACATGAACGTCCAATGCCACGCCTGCATCGGAGGTACCAACATCGGAGAGGATATTAGGAAGCTCGACTACGGTCAGCATGTTGTCTCGGGAACGCCCGGTCGCGTTGCCGACATGATCCGCCGCCGCCACCTGCGCACCCGGCACATCAAGATGCTGGTTCTCGATGAAGCCGACGAGCTCCTGAACCGCGGATTCCGCGAGCAGATCTACGATGTCTACCGCTACCTGCCCCCGGCCACGCAGGTCGTGGTCGTCTCCGCCACGCTCCCCTACGATGTGCTCGACATGACGACCAAGTTCATGACCGACCCCGTGCGCGTGCTGGTCAAGCGTGACGAGTTGACGCTCGAAGGCATCAAGCAGTACTTCATCGCCGTCGAGAAGGAGGAGTGGAAGTTCGATACCCTGTGCGATTTGTACGACACCCTGACGATCACGCAAGCCGTCATCTTCTGCAACACGCGCCGCAAGGTCGACTGGCTCACTGACAAGATGCGCGAGGCCAACTTCACCGTCTCCAGCATGCACGGAGAGATGCCCCAGAAGGAGCGTGACAGCATCATGCAGGACTTCCGCCAGGGTAACTCGCGGGTGCTGATCTCCACCGACGTCTGGGCGCGTGGTATCGACGTCCAGCAGGTCTCCCTGGTCATCAACTACGACCTCCCCACCAACCGTGAGAACTACATCCACCGTATCGGTCGTAGCGGTCGTTTCGGCCGCAAGGGTGTCGCCATCAACTTCGTCACCAGCGACGATGTGCGCATCCTCCGCGACATTGAATTGTATTATTCCACTCAAATCGATGAGATGCCTATGAACGGTAAGCGCTTCCGCCCCGTCAATGAAGCCGACATGTCATATGCTAATCACCTCCCCCACAGTTGCCGATCTCCTATCCTAATTTCTACGAGTCATCTATCTGCAATTGCTTTTCCAAAAGTTCAAGTTGCGCTCGAGCTATGGGATGTCCCGCAAATCAGTTGCTCACTAGCTGGCACCCTTCGTTATCACTTGCCATCATGATCGAAAGAGAGCATCTAGGCTCTGGGCGCGACGGAAAGTCAACACTAGTGTGGAGGAAATGGGAAATTTACTAGTCTGGTAAGTCTTGTTGACAGTCTCATCCAATCGTCAGCGCAGTGCTAACCAAGGCTCCAGTTATGTCACCATCAAATGACGCTTATGCAAGGGTCTTCTTCATTTTAAGGTCTATTCGACGCCCGACCAGCGTTCTGTCGTATCTCTCTGTCTACTTTCTGCGGCGTTCGATCTCTGATCTTCATTTCTGGGGTAATTCTAGCTTTTTCTGGGGTTCTTTTTCATAGTCAGGAGATACACTGTTCCTTTTTTCATATCCAAAACAATATAAAAGCGTTCCGCTATTTGGTTAAGCCTTCTTCATTTCCTTTCGTGTCTTCTCGGTATATGATAGTGGATCCATTCGTGCATTGTTTCAGTCTGCAAAAGCCTCGCCTCTAGACCTAGAAGGACCTCAGCCTCAGCTCCCACTCGAGCACACTACACCCACTGCGCCAGCATCCACCAACGCTCAAAGAATCGGATTCATCTTATAACAACCTTTCCAAGCTAGACACAATAGTCCACGCATACTCACGGCATGAATAGTCAAATCAAGGCTGCACCGGACGGGGGAAAATGTGACATATCGAGACGAATAAAAATAATGATACCTGATACCTATAGTAGAGTAACTCATAGCGAGATGAAAGGAAAATAGGAAGGGATAAGCCAGACCCAAGTTTTCACTTCGCCGCCCAGGAACCAGTTCCTCGATTTGTCCCAAACCTTCATGATCACCCAAACTGCGAAACGATTAAAAAAGAAAAAGAAAAAAAAAAGAACGAAGTCGAGGGAATGAAAATTCGGACGAGAAACCAGTATGTAAAGTCGTTATGTGTAGTAGGCACGAGGTGTGAATGCGGTTGGCATGCCTGTCGAGGTATGACAGGGCAATGCCGGAGATATTGGGTTGGAGGTTTGAGGGGGCGGGGCGGTTGGTCTGAAGAAACCAATGCACAACATATACGAATGTGTACCAAAAACAGTGGCGCCTGCACACGTTTATTATGTAGAATCACTGGCAAGACCAGAAAATGCTTATATGCAGGGATCAAAAGTGAATTAGTGGTGGGGGATTTGGGGAAGATCGCGTGGAGATAGCCGTGGAATTCGGCAGGGAGGTTCGATCCAAAGAGTAATTTCATCGGCCGCTTGAAGAAGGTCAGTGTGTATCCCTTCATTAAGGTACGATAACAACATTCGGAAAGGCAACAATAGGAGCTTCTCCAGGAGAGGCTCTTTTAGAACCGTGATGTCGAACGCAGAGCACTAGTGCGGGTAAACCCATTTCCCGACACAGCCCTATGCTTAACTGCTGCAGCACCCGGTCGTGTATCGCGTTCTTTGGTCCATCTTGAGGATAATCAGCCTAGACACTATCAGGTGTGGGGTAAATAAGGCAAAATCTTACATTCTGACCATGTAGTCATCGCCTGCTGAGGCGAACATCCCCGAATTAGCTGGATTCCACGATAATGAATTCACACAGCCCCGGGTGTGTGCTTCCAGCACTTCGACGAGAGTTCCATTCTCTTTGTGCCAGATATAAATACGAGAATCTGTCACGGGATTAGCCCAAACATGAAACAAGGGAGAAAAGTCCAAGATTTACCTTCGCTCCCGCTCACAATAAAGTTGTCAGCAGCGCCGCCAAAGACGCTGCGGATGACGAAATTGCCCTGCTTTTGCCCTTGGAAGCGCCGCACAACTTCCGTTGTGTTGAGGTCAATAAGCTGCAGTTGATTGTCGGCGAGATTAACAAGCAGATACCGCGAATCCTTGCTGACAGCCACAGACGTCGGCCTGCTTTTCGTTGTAAGGCAGTATTCTTCATCACGCGTGGCAAAGTTGTAAACATGCAATTTTCCCTCCAGATCTGCCGCGACTAGTCTCCGACCGTCAGGAGTCATAGTACAGTCTTGTACCCTGAAACCACCATCCCAAGAGTGCAGGTTATGCCCGCGCATGCTCCAATAACAAAGCTGCGTGCTAAGATCAAGAGAAGCCGTGACAAACGTCTCCCCGTCTGGAGCCCATGCTGCAGACGTTACTGGTTGCCGATGATGATTTATGGTTAACAGACAACGACCGGTCTGTGTTCCGTGTTAGCATTGCGGAAGGAGTTAGAGCATTACAAAGTGGAGTATTTACCTCGACGCTCCAGACGCGAGCTGTCTTATCTTGGGAGCAAGTAATGAGTTTCGAGTCGTCCGGGCTGAATTCGCAATGCACAACACCATCTGTGTGCTCCTTGAGTGTGTGGAGTACAGTGAAAGTATCCGTGTCGTAGAGAATCACTGTGGAATCCTTGCAGGCTGTGACCAGCCTGGTCCCATCATGCGAAAAGGAGCACCACCAGACCTCATCCCGTTGCTCGGTCAATTGAATCTCTGTCCGGAGAGGGAAATCTTTTCGGTCGCACATATGGTCTGAGTATAGCGAGGGAGGATTTGCTGTATTGTGATACAAACATTGGTTGATTTGATTCTGCTTGACATGATCTAGAAGAATGGCAAGACGATTATCCGGGATCATAACAGAAGGCGAAATGGACTCTGCAAGATTGTAAGTTCAGAATGATAAAAGAGATTTGTGTTGTGACATACTTGATAATTCCGATAGCAAACGTTCCCGAGACGAGCTTATTGGGCTGTCCCAACCAGCTTGATCGTGAAGATGCTCAGGAGGGCACATGAGGAGGCTATTTGATTGTGAGTTAGTGGCACATTTTCTGATCAACGGGGATGCTAGGTAGGTCCCACCTTGAAAGAGCATGCAAACGACCAATGTCATAATTGAGGGGTGTTAGCTCATGCCGGAGAACTATTAAAGCCGCACCCAGATCCCGAGCCTCCAACAGCTCCAGAAACTTTTGTTGTCGGAGATGGAAAAGCATCTCGTTCTTTTCGGCATGCTCCACTAAGACTAATCTCTCCTTGGTGGGATGCTGCTCAGTGCGACGTCCTCCCCTGCCATTATCCCGTTCATGGTGAAATGAGTGGACCAGAATTTGTTCCGCTTCAGCCCATCGTCCCTCAAGAACCGCGTTCCTAAACGTAGCAACCGCCGGGCTTTCCAGTTGATAACCGCTCTCCTTACTCAACAATGATGCCGCTCCGTCATACCCAAGCTCGTAGAGACTCTGTATCAAGATCCTTGTGACCTCTTCCCGATCGTGACCGAAGTAGGTAGAGGAATTGAGCCTAGACTTTTGCGATCCATTTGTATGCAAGTCTCCATTGGAGGTTGTATGCAAGGCTTGGCCATTCATCGACAACGGAAATGCTGCCTTTTGCGATGGAGATGCAGGCGAACCATTCAGCGTATGGGAAGAGCCATTTGTACTAGATATCCCATCGGGACGCATATTTGCCAGGCGCCTGCGCTTGGGAGATGGTGTGTAGCCCGCCGATGAGTCGTGTGGTTGGATTGCTTGATGGCCGGCCTCGCTTGCCGTGCCTCCCGCAAGACCTCCCGTACCCTCTGTTATCGGACCTCGAGAGGTAGGTGTTATACTTCGGCGACGTCGTCGAGATGATCTGGATGAGGTGCCACTAGGACTTCTTGTGCCAATCTGATCACCGACGACCGAGTTACGGAGGGACGCTGCGGATAGGCCGCTCGTGGCGGAAGTGGTGCGAAGTGGCGGCGGGGATGCGAGGGGTGGAGGGGGATCGGGGTGGTCGGGAGCGGCGGAGGAGGGTATATATGGAGGAGGATTGTCTGCCAGTTCGAATGTTTTCGGATCTGCCCTTTCACCTGGCTCTGTTGGAGAACCAGGGGAGCAGACCTCTATCAGTGGCGGTTCACTGATGTTCGCCGATGGTCAGTGTACTGTATGTACGGTACGTCCTGCAACCTTGTCACGAGCCTCAGCAGTCTGCCAATCTACTTGTTGAGGAACATATGTTAGTATAATCTGTATCACATGGCGTTCAGATGAGCTCTGCCATGCGTGCTGGTCGAGAGCAAAGTGCTTCTTACAGTAGACAAGCGGAGAGGTCTTATCGGGCTTGGATGGGGTTAACTGACTCCTCCCACGAGAGGTCACCGGATAATGGGGAATGGAAGAGCTAGAAAGGTGTGAAAGGGGCACCAAAAACAGGTTTAAAAATGGCCGGAATGACCAAGCCGGAGATATGTAAGAGCCTAGTAAGTGGGAAGGTATATTATGGACGAGGGGAAGAGAAAAGTTTAGGTGGGTTGATTGAGGAACAATTGGAGGATTGGAGCGGAGGTTGAGGTCGAGCACAACGGCGGCTGCTGGATCTCACTGACTGACGGACTGAACTGTCTTCTTTCCGTGGGGCTAAGCAGCCCCCGACAATCAATGCTTATTGAATGCCTGCTTGCCTGTCAATCCCACCCCCTCCCTCCCTCCCTCCGCCCCCGTGCTCCTTCTTTCGATTACCCACACCTGCCCAATTCATCAGACCCATAACCCATCATTTCGTTTTGCCCATTCCAGTTTCGTACCTGGTCTCGAGGTTAAACATGCATATACAGAGTGTCAATCATCTGAGTAGCCGAGAGACTCGAATCAAAGAGTTTTGTGGAAGCCGTTTGCTACCGAATCGAGGTAACCTACGGTACTAGCTACTATGAATGACGATGTCCATGATACATACTGGAGTATGACGATACATGGGAAAAGGCACTCATTCCCGTAGTATAACTCAAACATGATTCATATGTTATCAGCATTCAACACTAGTTCAGTATGTATGCCTCCTACTACCTTAAGCTTCCTACTATATCTTACACGCTGCCTTTGTGTTTTCCTTATCTTCTGAAATTGTATGTAAGTCCTGTACAGTATGGGTTTCAGAACCAGCGATGTCCGAAAGCCCTTCCCAAGCTGGATTTGGGGCAGAGATGCTTGCATCACCTGGACCCTCAACAGCTCTTCGATCAAGCAAGCAGCTGACACGCAGCTAACTCGGTCTCAACATACTCGCAAATGACACCATCTGATACTTATCGATTCTGAGGAAACACAAATTGGAGGGGCACGACCACAGATCCGCAACCGATATTGGCCACAGATCATCCGCAGCCAGACACATCACCTGCACACCTGTCCGGCCACATGGAATGAGTTGTTCTCATGCCTCTTGTCTCAGGGGCACGGTGCTCTCATGAGTAATTGCTGATCGGATGCCTTATCTGCTTCTCTGACGGTTAGATATCACAACCCCCGAGAATACTACTATGTACTCGTAGAAAAGTAGGCGTGCCATGCAGGAGCCCGAGTCCGCCACTACGTTTCATTTGGCATAGTTTCATGCCGTAGATGTACCCAACCGCCCGTTATGGCAAGCAAGTAAATGTGAAGAGAGACTCAAACGGGCTGTAAGGTACTGCAAGCTGGTTACAGCCCAGGTGGACGGGGTTATACTGGTCAATCCCGAGCCACAAGCCTCTTCTTTCAAGTGTCATTGCTCGAGGGAGGTACTTGAAAATTATAGTTTACAGGCAATGTCGTCACTGCTGAGGTTGAATGGCTTTGCATACCTCCTTGCAGAACAAAAGATTTAACAAGCACCTCAACTACGCTGCATAGTTAGATTGAGACTCGTGTCTATACTTCAACGTAGGTACACGACATCACGGCGGTAAAGTACTATCTCTCCGTACTTCGATTGGAATGAATTTCTTTTACAAACTAAACGGCACAAGAGACTCTTCCGAGGTCAGAAACGAAATGTTTGTCATTGTCTGGTCAAACGCCCGGCATCTCTCACCGCTGTTTTTGATGCATGATCCCGTCGGAAGTCCCTGGTGTCCATAATGCTCCGCAGATAGCCATGGTAAGTCGGTTTGTTAAAAGACAATGTTTGCCCCCAGCCAGATGTGAACAGCAGCTATCTCTGGCATCTCCCATACATACTTATTGGTGCTTCTACCCATCATTAGAGTCGCAGGTTGAGTCTACAATGCACAGCATTAAGCCGTCGTCACTATGCTCTCCTGGCTTATATATTCGAATTCTCATAACAATATACCTAGTTCGGCGGTTGTAAGCTTTATGATAGCTTGCATGCTGAATACCTTGGAAGATACAAGAATCAGAAGCACCATGTACATAACATATATTATATCCTCGAGAATTCGCCTTATACACAACACATCTACTGCATTATGTTTAAGGGAATTGTATGGATTGACTTGATCTTCTTTCCGCTGGGCTGAATTGCAATGGCCAAGCTTGTTTAAGCTATGAATCCCCATACCATATATCAGAAGGAGCTACGTCGACATTCACAAATGCAGAACTAGATATGTAAATATGGCTGAGAACTTCAACTGCGACCGCCTGAAATGAACGGTTGTTTTCCTCATACTCGCGAGTACAACCATTGTCTCTGCTCAGCCTGGGCCTCACTGATGTTATGTGAGGCTCCACGCCGTCGTCTACCCTGGGCCTGGGCCTCGAGAGAACCACTTACCCCAGTGCAAGTTTTATATTGAAGTCAGGAACTTGGAGGACGATGCAACCACTACCAATCGGACAGTAAGCCCGGATCTATGTGCGACACATGCGATCGGTTCGGCTTGACTCGGGTCTTTGTCTTCCCCATCCATGACATAATCCGTCAACTGACCTCATCATGATTCACGCCACGGCACCTACAAGTATATATAGAGACAACTTCTTCGTCCCCAAGGTTCTCAGTCTAACATAAGCGTTTAACCCAAACCAATCAGTCAATCAGTCAAACGGTCAAACAAATACATTTACTATCCTATTCAACGAAAATCGCGAACAAGATGGGTTGTGATTGCGGTTCCGGAAACACCTGCGGATGCAGTGGACCTAGCAGCTGCACCTGCGGAAGCTCGTGCTCTTGCAAGCAGTGCGGCGTATGTTGAACTCCTCTCTCCATGACTTTAACAAAAGACTTACATATATATATAGAAGTAAATTCTTGCACCTCTATTGAAGCCAGATAAACTGGCTGCATGAGTGATGAATCATGACGATGATTAATGGTGGAGGATGCGATTCGCAAAGGCGTGGAAATATTCCTCTGGACCATGTACCTTAGGACTGAATAACCTATATTCACCCTGTAATCCTTCCTCGCCTAACAATGACCATTTTGTCCAAGATCGCGTAGGCTGAACTTCAAAGAGACCAAGAGCCGGATTTTCGATCAGCAGATAGTCGGTAGATGCGGCAGACATGTTCGGTGGCGAAGGGCTTTCATCGAGTATCATAGACTCCGATGACCTCTTCTGAGACGTAATCTTTTTTTGCCAATAGGAAGTTGAATGTCCTATATAGAATGTATGTATTATAAGTACTGTAAGGTCGAAAAAACGTCGAGTTTAGCTGTGATGCTATTGACGATGGCGAGCTAGTAACCCCATTGAACGGTGATCGTCCGTGCGGTCTCCAACAACGGCTGAGTAAACAGGTAGCCTGCACCGCCCCAGATAACCTTAGGAGAGCTTGGAAGTCGAGACCTGAGGAAACGTCGATTCAATTGGGATTATGGTAGCAATAATTAACTTATAGTCGAATGTTAGGATTAGGCGTGCCTCGACTTCGCACACGACCCTCGTTGCTGGATCTGATTGTCAGTCAAAAGGCTGCAGTGTGGTCGGAAGTTGGTTCGAGGTCGTCATCACCGCCTGAGCTAGAAGGCCAAAACCAGCAGTTGGAACTGCCACCGCTCCCCGTGTCGCCCACTTCATCATCCTGCAGCGACAACAGCCTCTCCTCCCCTCTTTCTCCCATCCACCACCGCCGCCCCTCTTCCTCCACTCTCTCCATCCACGACCGTACTTCACACACTATGGCCCCCTCCGCTGATGATGGCGAGAACCAGCATGGTTCCGTCTTCTCCGTCTCCGGACCCGTCGTCGTGGCCGAGCATATGATCGGTTGTGCTATGTACGAGTTGGTAGGTCCTCCCCGCAGCTCCTTCTACCCCATAACAGTGCACGGGGGACTGGAATGTCGATACAACCCCACACTCAGCATTTATCGTATCTGATAGCCTCCCGCAGTGTCGAGTCGGTCATGATCTGCTTGTTGGAGAAGTCATTCGTATCGATGGAGATAAGGCCACCATTCAGGTCTACGAGGAAACTGGTACAGCACCATTCATCTCCCGCTTTCCACCATCTCAATCTCTAACAATATTCGCCATCAGCTGGCTTGACGGTTGGCGACCCCGTCCAGCGTACAGGAAAGCCTCTTTCGGTTGAGCTCGGTCCCGGTCTGATGGAAACGATTTACGATGGTATTCAGCGCCCCCTGAAGGATATCTCCGAACAGTCCGAGGGCATCTACATTCCCCGTGGTATTGCAGTCAATGCCTTGGATCGTAAGAGAAAATGGGACTTCAAGCCTGGGAAATACAAGGTCGGCGATCACATAACTGGCGGTGACATCTGGGGTACCGTTTTCGAGAACAGCTTGGTGAACGACCACAAGATCATTCTTCCTCCCCGCGCGAGGGGTACTATCACCAGAATCGCCGAAGCTGGTAGTTACACGGTTGAGGAGAAACTTCTTGAAATCGAGTTCAATGGTGTGAAGACCGAGCACAGTATGATGCACACCTGGCCCGTCCGTGTGCCCAGACCTGTGAACGAGAAGCTGGCCTCTGACTCTCCGTTCATTGTCGGCCAAAGAGTCTTGGATTCTCTTTTCCCCAGTGTCCAGGGTGGTACCGTCTGTATTCCCGGCGCCTTCGGATGCGGTAAGACTGTTATTTCTCAGAGTGTGTCCAAGTTCTCCAACAGTGATATCATTGTCTATGTCGGTTGCGGTGAGCGCGGTAATGAGATGGCTGAAGTGTTGATGGATTTCCCCGAGGTCTGTCACTTCCCCCGCAATAACCCCATCAATTACTGATCAATGTATCTGTAGCTTTCCATCGACATTGACGGCCGCAAGGAGCCTATCATGAAGCGTACCTGCTTGATTGCCAACACCTCCAACATGCCTGTCGCCGCCCGTGAAGCCTCTATCTATACCGGTATTACGATCGCCGAATACTTCCGTGACCAAGGAAAGGACGTGGCTATGATGGCGGATTCCAGTTCTCGTTGGGCCGAGGCTCTCCGTGAAATCTCCGGTCGGTTGGGAGAGATGCCTGCTGATCAGGGTTTCCCCGCCTACCTGGGTGCTAAGCTTGCCTCCTTCTATGAGCGTGCCGGAAGGAGTATCGCTCTCGGAAGCCCCGAGAGAACCGGCAGTGTCAGTATTGTCGGTGCCGTCAGCCCTCCAGGTGGTGATTTCTCGGACCCTGTTACCAGCAGCACTCTCGGTATCGTCCAGGTCTTCTGGGGTCTGGACAAGAAGCTGGCTCAGCGCAAGCACTTCCCTTCGATCAATACGTCGATCTCCTACAGCAAGTATACCACGGTTCTGGACCGCTACTACGAGAAGCACCACCCCGAGTTCCCTCGTCTGCGTGACCAGATTCGGGAGCTTTTGACCAAGTCAGAAGATTTGGACCAGGTGGTGCAGTTGGTCGGTAAGGCGGCATTGGGTGACTCGGATAAGATCACCCTGGATGTGGCTGCCATGGTCAAGGATGACTTCCTGCAACAGAACGGCTACAGTGACTACGATCAGTTCTGTCCTCTGTGGAAGACTGAGTACATGATGAAGGCTTTCATGGGCTACCATGATGAAGCGCAGAAGGCCGTTGCCCAAGGTCAGAATTGGGCCAAGGTTCGCGACGCCACGGGTGATATTCAGACCGCTCTGCGGAACATGAAGTTCGAAGTGCCAGACAACGAGGCGGAGGTGTCTAACAAGGTGAGTCTAATCCTCTTGCGTTCCACAACGTAGTTTCGCTAACTCCTTCCTAGTATGAGAAAATCCTTCAGACCATGTCGGAGCGTTTCGCTTCGGTGTCGGATGAGTAGAGGATATCATCATGGCCGGGAGATGATCTCCGGGATCGTGTCGTCATTTCTTTCTTTTGAATTTCAAGAGCTTTGTAGCATAGCAAATTCCCATTACCTGTAGTTATTGCAGTTTCGTTGAAGATCTTCCAGAATATTCTTTTCGCCCAACGATGATAGATTTTGAGCCCATTGAGTGAGTGGTCAGGCAGCATCATTGTTTGGCCCGTTTGGGTGGCCAGAAGCACATGACGCGTCCTATTGAATTCGTGGCTTTGCATTATGACATTCAAGAGGAAGAAGTTTTACAGCTACTTTCAACTGTGTACTCCGTAAGAATACGTTGATTAACTGAGGCTGTTAGTTAAGACCGAATGACTGAGCTGCCACCATTGGCGTGATTCTTTATGCTCCTGTGGCTTTGTAGTTGCAGTTGTATCGATCTTTATCTCACTGATCTAGGCCGAAGCGAAAGGCTACACTTGGCACTTCCCGTCGCCGCCGCCGCCTTCGCTCACTCCGACACTCTCCCCCCTTCAACTTACCTCCCCCCCAACACCCACCATTCACAGCTACTACGCCTTACAGGCATTCATTCATACACTCGATTCCATACACTTGGCTGCTATCTACTTACAAGTTAAAGCTTCCTTTTTTTGTAATTTGGAGCGATTCCCTAATCATCATTGCCAGCCATGGCAAGCCCAACTGGCTTCTCGTGCGCAATTTCCCCTCCCCCTTGGGCCCTCGTGCCCTCAATGCTAGGTTAACTGACTGACTTCGCTTGTCGGACAGGATCAATGTCAACGATCCCAGCTTGATCTCCCTGGTCAACAAGCTGCAGGATGTCTTCGCTACCGTCGGAGTAAGTGATTGCTGTTTCGTGGAGCTTTCCTGCGGCCCCTCCGCATACTGACACCGCTTGTTCTGTTTAGGTTCACAACCCCATCGACCTGCCTCAAATCGCCGTCGTCGGCTCGCAGTCTAGCGGAAAGAGTTCCGTCTTGGAGAATATTGTTGGCCGCGATTTGTAAGTGACCCTTACTGTCACCATCGCAACCACTGTCGCATTCGCTAACTGTCAACCCTGCTCCCCCCTAGCCTCCCCCGTGGTTCCGGAATTGTCACTCGCAGACCCCTCATTCTGCAGCTGATCAACAAGCCCGCTGCACAGACCAACGGTGTGAAGGAAGAAGAGTTGGAAGGCACGGACAAGGAGGCAAATGTGGACGAGTACGGCGAGTTCCTGCACATTCCCGGCCAAAAGTTCTACGACTTCAACAAGATCCGCGATGAAATCGTGCGCGAAACCGAACAGAAAGTTGGCCGCAACGCCGGCATCTCGCCCGCCCCGATCAACCTCCGTATCTACTCGCCCAATGTCCTGACGCTGACGCTGGTTGACTTGCCCGGTTTGACCAAGGTGCCAGTGGGTGATCAGCCCAAGGACATTGAAAAACAGATTCGGGACATGGTCATGAAGTATATCAGCAAGCCCAACGCTATTATCCTTGCTGTCACTTCCGCTAACCAGGATTTGGCCAACTCGGATGGCTTGAAGCTGGCGCGCGAGGTGGATCCCGAGGGTCAGCGTACCATCGGTGTGTTGACCAAGGTGGATCTGATGGACGAGGGCACCGACGTCGTGGATATTCTTGCGGGCAGGATTATCCCCTTGCGCCTGGGTTATGTGCCGGTGGTCAACCGTGGTCAGCGCGATATTGAGAACAAGAAGCCCATTGCTTATGCGCTGGAGAACGAGAAGAACTTTTTCGAGAACCACAAGGCTTATCGCAACAAGTCGTCATACTGTGGAACACCTTATCTTGCTAGGAAGTTGAACTTGGTGCGCATTGCTCCCTGGTACGTGACTGTATGTGCGCTAACCATGCTATAGATCCTCATGATGCACATCAAGCAAACGCTTCCCGACATCAAGGCCCGCATCTCGTCCTCTCTCCAGAAATACTCTTCCGAACTATCGCAGCTTGGCGACTCGATGCTCGGCAACAGCGCTAACATAATACTGAACATCATCACCGAGTTCAGCAATGAGTACCGTACTGTGCTGGAGGGTAACAACACCGAACTTTCGAGTATTGAGTTGTCCGGAGGTGCCCGTATCAGCTTCGTGTTCCACGAGCTCTACTCGAACGGTGTCAAGGCAGTCGATCCTTTTGATCAGGTGAAGGACATTGATATCCGCACTATCCTCTACAACTCCTCCGGATCGTCACCAGCCCTCTTCGTTGGCACGACCGCTTTCGAGCTGATTGTGAAGCAACAGATCAAGCGACTGGAGGATCCCAGCTTGAAGTGTATCTCTCTGGTCTACGATGAACTCGTCCGCATTCTTGGTCAGCTCTTGAACAAGCAGCTCTTCCGGAGGTATCCTATGCTGAAGGAGAAGTTCCATGCTGTGGTCATTGGATTCTTCAAGAAGTGCATGGAGCCGACCAACAAATTGGTTCGGGATCTTATTGCCATGGAGACGGTGTACATCAATACTGGACACCCTGACTTCCTTAACGGACACCGCGTAAGTTATTCGCACAATCTCTGTAGCTGAGCGATACTGACCGATCAGGCTATGGCTATCGTCAACGAACGCCAACTTGGAAGCAAGCCTACGCAAGTAGATCCGAAGACCGGCAAGCCCCTCCCTCCGCGGGCCAACAGCCCTTCCGTTGAGACTCCTACCGACACCGGCAGCTCTGGGTTCTTTGGCAGCTTCTGGGCCTCGAAGAACAAGAAGAAGATGGCCGCTATGGAGCCGCCACCGCCCACTCTGAAGGCTTCTGCCGCCCTGTCCGAGCGCGAGAGCAGCGAAGTTGAAGTTATCAGTGAGTCCTGTTAAATGTCCTTTGCAGATTGGATGCTTACACACAACAGAACTGCTCATCACATCGTACTTCAACATTGTCAAGCGCACCATGATTGACATGGTTCCCAAGGCCATCATGTACACCCTTGTCCAGTAAGTTCGATCTCACGTGGGTCATTATATTCGATGCTAATACAGAGCTAGATTCACCAAGGATGAGATGCAGCGCGAGCTCTTGGAGATGATGTACCGCAACAACGAGTTGGATGAACTCCTGAAGGAGAGCGATTACACCATCCGCCGGCGGAAAGAGTGCCAGCAAATGGTAGAGAGCCTATCCCGCGCTAGCGAGATTGTCAGCCAGGTTCAGTGAGTGCCAGAGTTGGATGGTTGATTTTCACTTTCATACACCCGGTTGCTTTCTGTTGTCCTGGTAGCCAGTCTTTTTGGAGGGGCTCAGTCTCTTGCGGGGAGTTGATGATGCCTTATGTTTATATTTTCTTCTGATGCAAGAATTCCACGGCCGCATGGTGGATGAACGGTTGCCAAGATTTGACGAATTTGTATCGCCTAATGACTGCGGATGATTGCGGCTTGTTTAGAATTGAGACCATTTTGCAGATTAGCAGTTGCAATGTATAGTAGCTCAAGGAGGGAACCCGTACTATTCAGGTTTGATGTTCAGATGAAGCATGCTCGCTCAGGATGGGTAGCAGCTGTTCTTACAGTGGTCGCAGGGTAGAGCTCATTAGTTAGTGATTTACTACTTCTTCGACTGCCTTGACATACGCTAGCCTTCCTTGACTGCTAGGATATCATCTAAAAGTGGCAGCCAACCTCAAACCCTTCCTTGTCACGAATGAAATGTACATGTGCCCTTACCAGTGAATGGGATGCATAGCTAAATCGCTGAACTGGGGAACCTTGAACCCGAAAAGAACATAGACTTGTATATCAAAAAGGGCTTAGCGTACCAGTGAAGTGGGCCACTATCAGATACAGATAAGCCCATGTTTAGCGTGGCTCGCGTGGCCAATAGCCGCTCGGCCCGGTGATCCGAAGTATATCACTACTGTAGGAGCCATGTTGCTGGGTTGACTATATATGAAAGGGATGATCATGTCCACGCAAGATGGCAAGCAGAAAAATGAAGAAAGCGGTATTGTAGGGCCTCAAGTAAAGAGTATTATAGGCTGGGTAACACGCTGTAGTGAGGTTTATCATCAGGCAACGATCACAAGTGAACGAGCTGCCTTTGACTTCTCTTATCCCCTCCACCCCCTTCTCTCTCTTTCTCTCACACACACTCTCATGTTTCCTCTTCATCTTCTACGCTCTCCCACTTGTTCTCTGTAGAGCCTCTATATCTCTCACATTCTCTCCCTTGTCTCTGTAGAACTTCATTCTTTCATCTCTCCGCTCCTCCTCCAGACCAGCAAGTTTTGTCTGCTCGACACCTCATCTCATCTCACCTTGAACGTCCGGTCATCTCCCACTCGATTCCAACCAAAGAAGTGAAGCCAAGTAATTTGACACTCGCCGTAGCCACAGTTTACATACTGATCATCTCAAGGATGTGCTTTGCATTTAAGTACCCTGTGATCTACACCGACTGCACCCAGGAAGTGCGCCATTTCGCCTGGAAAGAGGTGTACTTCCAATGCCGTGACCGGTGCAACGATCCGACAGACTTCCGGCCGTACGTGTCCCACACCTTACATTCTGTGAAAAGTCCCTTCTAACTTACCCATCCCTCAGGTGTGAGTTGGATCATGTTCAGGGCTTCGTTACCATCGGCAGCTTGTACATGAGGGGTATCCCTTGCCGCCTCTGCGATTGGGACCACCAGGCCGAACGGTTCGATCCCAGCAACGGTGCCAGGCTCTTCAATGTGAGCTCTCTCTCGCTCACCTTCCTGCTTACCCCCCCCTCACGAGAGAAGAGACACACTGACCGAAACTAAAACAGGTGATCAAGCGCCCCCATGACTACGAACTCGAGTGGATCATGGAGTACATGAACGACCTCGTCCCCCTCGGCTCTCGAGCCATTCCTCCCGTCGAAACTGAAAAGAACCCTCGCAGCTTCGTCGAATACTGGATGCCTGTCGAGGATTCAGAGGGCGATGATGATACTGACGACTCCGAGGCGCCCGAGGACGATATTGCCGATGGCTTCGACATCGTGACTGATGAGGACTACACTTCCGACTTCGAGGTGCTTGACGAGTTCGAGCTGTGAGCGGGGATTGATGGGTGCTTTTCTCAGCTACGAATCATGACATCTACCTTGCCATCTCTGATCTCTCTTACTTTTGTTCATCGTTCATTATTCATCGTTCTGAGGTTTGGATTTGCGTGTCTGTGCTGTACTTCAATACCCCTCTGTGCTGCTTCTAGCAAGTTCTGTTGGGTCTTGATGTATTCAGCGAGCATGACTTTCTGTGTTGTTGCTTGTTCTGTGGCTTTGGGATTATGGGGTGTTGGCTGAAGGATACGGCTGGGTTTGCTGTGGCTCCTATTTTGTCATACGGTATGCATGGTTGGTCAGTCGGTATGGTAGGGAGCTGTGGTGTTGATGGTTGTTCCTCGGTCCCATCTCATTTCCTCTCGTTGCTTGCTCTGGTTTCTATCTCAGTTGAATCTAGGAGAGGTTTGTGGCTGGCTGTGGCTTCCACCTTGTCGTGAGGTATGTATAGTCCGGCTGCAGCTTTCGACTATTTTCACTGCGTTGCTTATGTTTCCTTTTTTCCAATGGTTGCCAATTTGGCTTCGTCGGTGCAACAGTCGTTGACGCTTGACATGACCTACTTGTGGTTGGGTTTAACGCTTTTGAAGTTCATCTCGGCCATGTGTCTTGACATATCTTGAGAAAGTTACATAGCTAGCCATAATCGAACAACGTACACAAGTTTGAAACAGCTTTCGACTCCACCTCAACCATCCATGTTAATCCTCTAATAACAGACAGTTCACGCAATCGAAGAGTGTCTATACGTATAATGCCAGCCCTCCCTCTCCATATCCTCGCGGACCTTGTAATTCTCCTCCGCGATCCTCACCAACCCCAAATCCATATCCACCACCAGCACCCCTTCCTCGTCGCCCATCTGCCCCACCGGTCCCACCACCGGCAACACCACCCGCGAGAGGCCCATGAACTTGTCCTCCGGGTCCTGGCCCCGCGCGACATTGGCAAAGATGATCCCGCAGGTATTCTCAAAGCACCGCGCCGTGAGGGTCGTCTCGAGGAACAGCTTCTCCGACTCCGGGTTATGTTTCAGCATCGCGGGCGAGGCGTCGTAGCGACTCCCTGTCGTGGGCCCAAATTAGCCAGTGTCTTCTCTGCCAGTGTCTTCTCTGCCAGTGTCTTCTCTGCCAGTGTCTTCTCTAAGAGCCACAAAAACCACCCCTCCCACCCTCTACCCACAAGGCGCAGCCCCCGAAAAAAAGAAAAGAAGAACTCACAAAAAGTCGGCAAAATCACCAGCTCCGCGCCCTTGGAAATCAACTCGCGGAACGCCTCCGGGAACGCCAGATCCCAACAGATCAGCAGCCCCACCTTCCCCAGCGGCGTGTCGAACACCTCGTGCGGCTCCTCCCCGGATGACGTCAGGTACTCGCGCTCCGGGTGCCAGATGTTCTTCTTGCGGTAGTGGCCCAGGATGCGGCCGTCGTGGGAGATGAAGTACGCGGTGTTGTAGAGGAGGGCGTCTTTTTTGCTTTCGGCCTTGTTGGAATTGGTGGTGGTGGTGGTCGTCGTGGCGGGCTGCGGCTCGTGCCGTTCGACGATCGTGCCGGGAACGATGCAGATGTGTAGGTCGCGGGCAAGGGCTTGGTAGGCTTGCAGGTATTGCTGGGTGGAGGCCGCATGGTCGAGCCAGAGGGGGTCGGAGGGGGCCCAGCCGTTGAGGTGGTATCTTTTTGGCGGGGGTTAGTTGGTGGTGTTTGAGGTGGGAGTGGCCCGGGGGTTGAGGGGGAGGGGGATTATGTGTGGCTTGAGGTGTAGGGTGAGGGCGCATACTCTGGGAGAACGGCAAGTTCAGCACCTTGGGCTGCGGCTTCGCGGATGTAATCGCATGCTTTGCGGTGGTTTTCCTCGATGGCGAGATCCTGCGAGGGAGGGTTGGTTAGCAATTTGCTGCGACGCAGAGTAGGTAGCTGGGAGACGTACCTGGATGTTCCATTGGATGACGGCTACGCGATGAATGGGTGCCATTGTGGGTTACAGTGACGTGAGTGATAAGGAGGAGAGATCAATGTCTTGTGGAATGCGACGAGGAAGAAAGTCATGATGGCCATGGAGGGGTCGTGTGGAAGTTGGAGGTTGGAGATGGTGGAGTCATTTGAGTTCCCCGCGTTGGAGTCGCCTTGATAAGAGCGGGGTGTGTTTATGTAACTCTTTCCTCCCCTCAAAAACTTCCTCATGAACTGTGAGATAAGACAGCTTTAAACAGGATGTTTTCGATTTTGAAATTCTATGAATGACAGACTATCACTACTGGCTAACTTGTCTTCGAGCGCAGCTAGACACTTCACGATGTGTGAGGCTTTTTCAAACACGCCGGCCATATCATGAGGTTGATTCTCCTCTCCTCCAGGGATGAGGTCCTCTTCACGTCAACTGAAATCAAATCAATTCAGACGAGCCACCACCCCCAGCATCCAGAACCCTCCAGTGTTCAGATTGCAGATCTTCGTGCCACCGGCTCTCCAGAATCCAAGGCCGGTGAAACTGCCATTAGCCAGATGGCAAGACCCTACAAGGGGACTGAGTTGGATCTCCCTACGATGGTCGAGTAGCTCGAACAATGGCTGTTCGATCCGTGGCTGGATAATATACAGAGTGCGACCTGGTTCAAGCTCGGGTTCGCGAAGATCAAGCAAGAGACTTTCCCATTGGGAGACGGACAGCTCCTTTCCGAGCAGAACTCCGTCCCCTCAGCCACTCCGAACTGGCTTGATGATATAATTGTCTTTATGAATCAGGGATCGACTCTGCTGGTCGATCAATCCGCTCAGCTCCGGAGACCCAGGGTTGATGGTAGGTACGACGCCGTGCCGAATGATCGCTGCTTGTTCTGCCGTCAGGACTTGCTTGCTGACAAGGCTGTCAAGCTCTTGGAGGAGTACCCCAAGGATCCGCTTATCGTGAATGAGAAGAACGCTTCTTAAATCATTGACAGAGTGCAACGCAAGATGCCGCAGAATGTCTGTCGGAATAGAGCGCAATTCATGCTGGAATAGTTGAAGCCCGGTTTGATACACACGGTCCAGGCGCTCACCGTCTGTGCTGACCATGTCGGGACAGTCCCTGTCGGACAGACAGTAAAGGTCATATCTGGTCTTCGAGTTGTTGCTCCTGATCAATCGAAGATCTACCGGCTTGATTATAATCGCACTAACCCTACCACTTTGTTCGGCAAAAGAGACGAACATCTCAATATAGGGTGTCCGGTACTGATAGCCGTAGGCTGCAAGGAGCTGTGCATTGATGGAGTAACGTGCGTTGATCTCACAGATCTTGACAGTACCTGGGTGGTCCGAAGGAAGAAGAAGATCAGATCGCCAGTGTCCCTGGCAATTCTTGAATGGCCTCAGATTATTCGCTTCGCATTGCTCATGCAGCCACTGGAGTGGAAAGGTCAGCACCGCTACCAAAGGTCAAGTCGATGAGTGTCTCACGCGTAGAAGATCTTCCTCGTGTGGTTCGAGTGGCATCCGCCGGGGGAACGCAGCCTGTTCATCGGTCCACCAAGTGTCCACAATGCTGCTGAGTCCGCTGACCAGTGCCTCGTGGAGCTTTGCTACATTCATTTAAAGCCTTTCAGGTACGAGCAGTGGATTCGGAGACTTGTTATTCACATTTCTCCGACAACCGCCAGTGAGGGACTCGAAGTACGTGTTGAAAGTCTGCTTCTGTTTGTGCTGTACTTCCTTCTGGGCTGATTTCGGAGCCACAGGATCTGCTGGACTTATCGTTGAAGCCAGACAGACCTGATGGATGCCGTATTGAGTGACCATCTTGAACTGCTTTATTGGGATGTGCGATTGTTCAAGCATTCGCAATCAACTCAAAAACTTCGTTCTCTGATTCCGTTCAAATATCTTCCAGATTCCTATTCAAAGCGTTGTCCAAAGCCAAAAGCATTTTTTACATTGCCATCGCCACCTTGCCCCTTCTCGAGTACACAGCATACTAATCTCGAGAGCTCGCGATTCTATCACGCTTTGCGCTTCTTCGGCGGTCATCAACTGAGCCGTCGGCATCTGAATCCTCGGCAGAGAGACGCGAAGTGTATTCTTTGTGCTGAAGCAAGAATTGAGTCTAAAGAGCTGTCCATCTTGTCTCTTTGCCCCCTATTGCTTCCTTAGTTGACCTGCTCTGGCTCTGGAGAACTCGACTGCGTATGCAAGACACTTATGAGGTCGAGATGCCAGTCTCACAATATCACGGATTGTTTAAAACCAGGTGGAATGTATTGCAATTGTGAACTGAAGGTCCGAATCCGAGCGCTCTCGCTTGCCATATTGTCCCTTCATGAAAATGGTCAATTCCCCGCACTTGAAGGTTAATCCGACATAAGATATGAAGAATAAGTTCAGTCGAGAACCGAATTAGAGCTCTGACCCCACGGACAGTCGTCAGCTCTCAGGGGTGCGATCAGCTTAATTTATTCTACATCAGTTGAACAATGAAACCAGGATACCTGGATTGCGCGACCGGCAACAGAGGAAGGGTTGTGCACGGATTGGTCTCACAAGACCTACCCGTGTGTCACTGACACGAGACATAGTTAAGTTGCCGGTCGAAGGGCCTCTAGTATCCAGGACATCAGGATGGAGTGGTTATCGCGATAACGAAAAAGAAGCAGTCGGGCATCAGCACTTTAAAACAGACACCAGGCCCAGAATGGAATATCAGGAACTGGTTCAAGTGGATCCGGCCAGCAAAGGAAAACAAGGCCCCGGCCAATTGCCAAGCAATGAGGGCATGCGCGCACTTGCCTCATTGCCTCTACATCATTTCCACCGGCACGTCATCCCTTCCGCCCTGTAAATCACTACATTCCGCACCCTGCCAGTGTACTCAGTACTATACGATTTACCAGTATTTGGGAGCGATGGCACCTCTCACAGCAGAAGAGCTCGTCAAGCACCCAGCGTATCCCACAGTCGAATGGGAACTCACCCCGACAACATCCGGGAAACAAGCAGTGGCCCAGACCCGCCGTGGAGGGCCGATCAATCTGCACTATGAAATTCACGGCACTGGCCCGGTGAAGCTCGTCGTAAGTCTCGAGTGTGATTCTCAACCCATCGGGGATCAATGGTGGTACTGACACGGACCGTGCAGTGGATTATGGGCCTCAACGGGACCCTGAAGGACTGGCGACGCCAGACCAGGTACTTTGGGCACAAGCACGGGTCGCGATACACCTGCTTGGTGTTTGACAATCGTGGCGTCGGTCTCTCAGACAAGCCGATATCTTTTTACTCGACCTCCGAGATGGCCCAGGACGTGGTCGACCTGGTGAGCTCGTTGGGCTGGATCGATCTAGCCGGTCCACCTGAGCGATCTATCCATGTCATTGGTGCTAGCATGGGTGGTATGATAGCTCAAGAGGTCGCGATGCTTATTCCCGATCGCCTTGCGAGCCTGATGCTCAACTGTACGGCACCGCGCCTGGTGCGGACAGGCCCGTTTGTGGAGAACTTGCGGCAGCGGGCGAACATGTTCATCCCTCGCCACATTGATGTGGAGCTGGAGCGGCTGGCGAAGAGCGTTTTTGCCGACGAGTTCCTCGCCCAGCCCGACACTGAATACGAGGACCCGGCGAAGAATTTCCCGACCAAGCGCGATCGCTTTGCTGCGGGCGTCATCCGGAAGCGAGCCAATACGGACGAGTACACCAAGAAGGGGTTCATGATGCAGATTGTGGCCTGCTATTTCCATCACAAGTCGGCAGCGCAGCTGAAGACCCTTGGGGATCGAGTAGGCAGAGACCGCATAGCCGTGACTCATGGCACCAAGGACCTGATGCTGACGTTTCGGCACGGGGAGATCTTATGCGAGGAGATCGGGGATGGGATCACCTGGAGGGCCTTCGAGGGGAGTGGCCACATGCTGGGTTGGGAACGAGAAGAGGAACTGCACGAGTTGATTGAAGAGATTGTGAGCCGATGCAATTAGAGGATGATCTCGAGCAAGAGCATACACCATCTCCCCGCATGATTGAATTAACCACTGTACATTAGACTAAGATTACATTCTGGCGATGAAATAGAAATGCTGACAACCTTCTGCAGAATCGAAGGTACGCAGTAGACAGGTCGCAGTGACCGGTGGCGACTCGTATAGCTGCACTCACTGCACGTAGCTGAAACCCTCGTGACCAGCCACACCAGACACCGCAGCGGTCAGCTGCTGCCCATCAACTGCATCTCATCCCATCCCTCTCATCTCAGCACCATTCATCACGTCTCCTCTGCTTACATTCATTCCACAAGCTCACTGGATATATAAGCAAAGCATCACCCTCCCCCATTTCCCGAAGAAACCCCCGCCCTCCTCACCTCATCCACTCTTTACCCAGCCATATTTAGTTGTATATCACAAAACTCAGGACGATGCCCCACGCCAAAGACGACAGCTACGAGCCCGCCTCCTCGAGCGATGCCCGCTCGCCCTGCCCGGTGCTGAACAGCCTAGCCAACCACCACCGCCTCCCGCACGACGGGCGGAACATCACAGCGGCGCAACTACGCTCGGCGCTGGGCTCGATCGGGCTGGGCGCCGACGTGTCCGCGCTGCTGGTGTGGCGGGCCTTCACGATCCACAGCGACGACGGCGAGTTCGGGCCCCACGGGTCCATCGGCGGCCTGCGCGACGCGACCGACCTCAACGCCGCGGGGGAGCCGGTCCTCCACCTCGACAAAGTCGGCCGCCCGCACGCCATCGAGCACGACGTCTCCGTCACGCGCCAGGACCGCGCCCTCGGCGATCCCATCCCCTGCGACCCCGCCCTCTACGCGCAGTTCGTTGGCAGCACCCCGCGCGCCGGCTTCGGCGTCCCCGACCTCGGCCGCTACCGCAAGCTGCGGTACGCCGAGTCCCAGAAGAGCAATCCCGCTCTGAAGTTCGGGCGTCGCGAGCACTACATCGCCTGCGGCGAGTTGGCCGTCCTGCGGTGTCTGTTTGGCGAGGGCGTGGGGAAGGGCATCCCCAAGAGCTATTTGCAGGCGCTGTTTGGCGAGGAGCGCTTGCCGTTGGAGGAGGGCTGGAGGCCTAGACGCTGGGTTAAGGCGTTTTTGCCCGAGGCCGCGGCCGTGATCCTTGCGATTTCGAGGTATGCTTGGCCTTTTTGAGGGTTGCGGAGGGGAGAGGGGGGAAGTTAGGATGATGTTCTAGGGCCGGGGTTGCGAACGAGGGATCTTGGTTTAGCGAGTGTCTTGATACGTGGTGGTGCTGAGGGGCTGAGGGTTGATCTGTTCAGCTGGGAGGGTTTGCGCCTCAGGGTTCGGCGCCTGGCAAGTATAGCCGACCCGTGTGGGTTTGTTGGCTGCGGTGCTTATCTTATGGCTGCAAGTGGTCAGAATATCAGACTGGCTGCAGGATGCAACTGTCGCTCATCATTGACGTGCAAGGCTCGTGTAGTATCGTATCTGAGAGCAGAGTTGGGCAGACTGGATGTGAGTCTCGGTTGAAAGGTATAGCATAGTACTTGAAGAGTACCTCGTGTGTCTACGGCGTTCTCGACCATCTTGGCGAACGCTTGTCTTGTTGACGTTCCTTCTTAAGCTTTTATATCGTGTTCAGATGGGGTGTACGGTTTGAGTGTGAAGGAGCGTATCACCATGCCATCGCCGTTGCAGAAATCTCTCGAGGGTTCAATACTGGAGCAGTCCACTCATGAGTCTCCTCTTCAAGTCACAGGAAGTGGTCCATTTATGTCTCAACGAGTAACTACTCGCGATGCTGCAAACGGTTGATACCATGATGTAGAAAGACTAGCATGTTCAGATCATGTACCCGAACCCAGGTCCACATGCTTCTAGCCCGAACCCTAAATATAATCGCATGCTCGGGCTAGCAAGCTGTGGGTTGTATTATCAGGCTCTTGACCTTGTGATTGATATCTAAGCAGATTGCCGGGTCGGTGACTGAGCATGTCTCTTCTGTAGACTAGGTGGGTACGATGCATGGCCGCAGACAGGAGCTCATTATGCTTCTCGCATAGTCAATCCACTAGAAGATAGAAGAGCTTATCACTCGGCGAGTCATGCAAGGACTCCTTAGTCCCATAGGTTGAGACTCGAAGGTCCGCCAACAGTGTGTTGAAATAAGCATTCTGGTCCATTTCTAACCGAAGTAACCTTTGTACTCCCAGGGGAGTGGATGACAGCAAACCGATGGCATATCACGCTACTCGATTATAGACAGAGCACCAATAACACCCCAGGGTAGAGCTATCAACAAACAATAACAGCAACAAACACTTCTTTCCCCCAGTGCTATCAGCAGAACCTCCTAAACGGTAGACAAATGTGACCTGTTGCACCCACCGCGTCATCGCAACCCCCATACAGTTGGATTGAGTATCTCACAGAGAACCGTTCAGTAAAGTCTCTTCACGGTCAAGACCGCTACTATAATTATACCTCTCCACCATTATCACGCAGTCTCCAAATCACGCAGTCTCCAAGTCACGCAGTCTCTAAGCTCCATGACGCAGGAACATCTAACTACCGATCAGCGAAACAACGCCTCACCTTCCCTCCTTCACCGAACAACTTTATTCCCCGAGGCCAGAGAC